AATCTTTCTGAAATTCAAATCCTCTTAGAGATTGTCAATTTTCTGTTGAATGTCTCTCAAAGTGAGAGTCTTTCCATTATATAGTGAGAATAAAGATTACACATCCCTAAAGATCCGTCATTTCTATCCTTAAAGATCAACAATTCTATCTCTACAAATTTGTTATTCAATCCCTTCAAATCCGCTTTTCTATCACAATATTTATTACTTTGATTCTACAACAAATCGATATGATCGTGCTAATTTATATCACTATCTCTCCAAATCTGCTATTCTATCACAATATTTATTCCTTTGATTCTACAACAAATCTATATAATCATGCTAATTTATATCACTATCTAAATTAAACATATACAATTATTTAGATTTCCACCATGGTAACATCCCCCCTCAAAATGATGTCGGTGGATCAAGAAGCATCAATTTGCCTACTAGAAACTGATGGCGTTGTCGTGCCATAGATTTTGCAAATGCATCAGCTATTTGAAGATCACTAGATACATGTGGAAGAGTACTGACTCCTTTATCTACAGCTCCTCGTATATAATGACAATCTACTTCAATGTGTTTGGCCCTCTCATGAAAAACTGGATTAGTAGCAATCTGAATAGCATTTGTATTATCACCATGGAGAGGAGTAGGATGAGATTGAGGAAATCCAATCTCAGCAAGTAATCCACGAAGCCATACAACCTCAGAGCAAGCAGTAGACATGGATCGATATTCAACCTCTGCTGAAGATTTTGACACACAATCTTGTTTTTTACTCTTCCAAGATATTAATAATTCTCCAAGAAACATGCACCAACCAGTGACTAAACAACGAGTATCAGGACATCCCGCCCAGTCAGAATCACTAAAAGCATTAAGACGAATAGGAGAACCACTTGGAAAGAATAATCCACGAGTAGATGTTCCTCGAAGATACCAAATGATACAACGAACAGCCACCAAGTGGAGATGACGGAGAGCTTGCATAAACTGACTAACTTGTTAAACTGCAAAAAAAGATATTAGGCCGAGTAATAGTAAGGTAATTTAGACTCCCAACTAATTGTCGAAACATAGTTGGATCAGAAATAATATCGCCTTCCTCACGACGATACATTCAATTCCAATGGAGTATCTACAGAGGAGGAATCTTGAAGACCAGGCAAAGAAATCAGATCCTGAGCATATTTGTGTTGGTTTAGAAACACACCTGAAGCAACATTATGAACTTCCAAACCCAAAAAATATATAAAAGTACCAAGATCTTTCATATGAAAAGAATCTTTAAGCTGTTGTTGGAGGCTAGTGATTAGTGAAGAATCGGTTCATGTGATAATAATTTCATCTACATACACCAAAAGAAGAACACAACCTGCAGATGTTTTCGAAGAAACAAAGATGAATCATATTTGCTCTGCTCAAAAGAAACTGTAGCAAAATAGATCAGAACTTATCAAACCAAGCTCTTGGAACTTGTTTTAATCCATACAAAAATCACTTCAACTTGCATACATCTGATGTAGGCGATAAGAACAAACCAGGTGGAGGTTTCATATAAATATTTTCTTTGAGATCACCATGGAGAAAAGCATTTTTGACATCCATTTGACAAAGAGACCAGTTTTGTGAAGCAGCAATGACAATAATAGTTCGCACTGTAGTCATTTTTGCTACGGGTGCAAAAGTCTCCTCACAGTCCACCCCATACTCTTGTTTGTTACCAAGAACAACCAATCGAGCTTTGTATCGATCAAGAGTTCCATCAGAATGGAGTTTGATTGAATAAACTCATTTACATCCAATAGGGCGTACATTTGAAGGACATGAAACAATATCCCATGTGTCATTCTCTTTAAGAGCCAAAAGTTCTTCCTCCATTACTTTCTACCAACAATTATGCTTGGAAGCTTGTGATTAACAAGTTGAAACAGAAATGTTAGATAAAGTAGAAAATCATACCAATTGGGAGTACGCGATACTCTGGTAGAGCACCGAGTAGGCTCAAGAGGACCAGATCTTGAAGAATTCTCAGATTCTAGTTGTGGTACAGTTTCAGGCGGCGGATCAGTGTCGAAAAAGTATAAAGTTGGCCGACGTCGTTCATACACAAATCCAAATTTGAACCTCTTAAAAGAAGATGATAAATCTTCAAAAGGAGGAAGATCAGGAGAAGTAGAAGATGAATCGATAATCATAGGAAAGAAATACTAATTCTCAAAGAAAACAACATTTCTAGAAATACGAAATTTGTGAGAACATGGATCATAGCAAATAAAACCTTTTTGTGAAGTACTATAACCCATAAAAGAACATTTAGTAGATTGTAAAGAAAGTTTATTGCGCTGCGAAGGAGGCAAATGCACAAAACAAACACAACCAAATGTTGAAACTCACTATAGTTAGGATTTGGTGATAAAGACGAAAATATGGAGACTCAAGATTTAGCACTTTGGATGGAAATCTATTAATTAAATAGACAGCAATAGACAAAGCTTACACCCAATATTTAGATGGTACAGAAGACTCAATCAACAAAGTACGAGTGACGTCTAAAAGATGGCGATTTTTACATTTAGCAACTCTATTTTGTTGTCGTGTATATGACAAGAGCGTTGTGAGACAATTCCTATGTCAAGTAAGAATTTTTTGAATTCATAAGACATATGTTCTGCACCAGAATCAGATCTTATATAATAATTTAATGCACGTAGAAAATTGAGTCTCAATGTAAGCCAAAAATATCTTGAACATGGAAAATACCTCAGATTTAGATCGAAGAAAATACACCCATGTAAATCGACTATAATCATCTATGAATGTCACTAAGTATTTGAAATGAGCATGAGAAATAATTGGTGAGATGCCCCAAACATCGCTATGAATGACATTAAAACACTTTGTAGCACGACTACAAAAATTAGGAAAAGTAAGAGTTTTACTTTTGCCTAATTTACAAGTAGAACAATCCATGGAAGCAACTGAAAATTGATTTTTATTTCCCAATAAACAAAAATTTGATAAATGAGACAATACAACAGAATTTGAATGTCCTAGACGCTTATGCCAAATCTCAGTCTTACTAGCAGTAGAAGTACAAGCAAAAGATACAACAGGTCGAATAGAAAAGTGTATAGGAAATAATCGTCCAACTTTAGGCCCCTTCGTATTATCGTCTCCGACACCTAATCCTGCACAAGATAACCATTACAAAAAAAAAATCACATGACAATTGTTATCTACCAATTTTCCAACTGAAATAAGACTAGTTGAGAGCTTTGGTGAAACAAAAACATTCTTGAAAGTTAGAGTAATGTCCCCAATCTTGGCAATGGGTAAATTACTACCATTAGCAATCTGTATTTGTGATGGACCTTGATACTTACGAACATTTTTTAGGATGCTCGGTGAGTTGGTCATATGATTGGAAGCACCTAAATCAACAATCCAAAAATTAGATGTAACATCATTACCTTGTAATTCCAATGCTGAAAAGGCTGACACGATCATTTATTAAACCATTTTCAGGAGTAAGAACTTGTCCTGATGATGAGTTATCACTAGTGGAACCATTTATCCCAGCTTGAAAAGCGTTGACCTTATGATTTTGAGGGCGCGTGGGACACTCTTTGATAATGTGTCCTTGTTTTTTTATAATAATTACAAAAATTCTTGCTACAATTGCTAGCAATATGCCCATATTATTTGTAACTGTAGCATTGAGTTCTACTCATATCCCTGCCCTTTCCTTTACCTTGAGCAGCAAATGCAACAATGACGTCATTTTCCTTCTTGAAAGCATTTTATGTAACAAGACGTTGCTCTTCACGAAGTAATTCTCTAAATCAAACATCCAAAGAGGGAGACGAGTCACGATTCATCAAGTTAGAGCGAACACTCTCAAAGTCAGAGCGTAATTTCATCAAAAATTGGTCTCGCTAGCTTGCTCAAGAACTCCCTGAATCATTGATAGTGATTCAGTAGATATTTTGGCATAGACAATATCCGTAAATTCAGCCCATAAGTTTTGAAATTCAGAAAAATAATCTTGAATGGAAAGACCTTCTTGAGAGTAATTAGCAATTTCATACTCTAACTGAAAGCGTCTTGCGCTATTATCTTGGTTGTAAACATTTTGTAAGTAATCCCACATGGCCTTAGCTGTCTTATACGGCATGAGATTAAGAACATTGTGCAATCAGTTGACTCAATTTTTCCTTTCTATTTCATTCCATTCTTACATATCCTGATATGAGTTTTTACACTCATTAATGTATGCTTATGATATTAGTTATTGTCTTTGAATACATGTTTTAAACTTTATTGTTTATGTTTCTGCAAAATTATTGTCTCTAGTTATATTAAACACATACACATATAGTACGCATATTCACTGTGTAGAAGATACTTATTGTACTCAGTTCCAAGAATTCATGTTTTGATATTCTATATTAAATTTTACAACTTGAAAGTACTATACATAAGCTTACAAATTATCCATTTTTACATAGATATGAAATTTCTCACTTATCAATTGAAGAAATACATTATGCAAGTTCAAAAGTTATAATTGTTTTTCAGTTCAAACGTAATTTTTTTGAATATGTTAAAAAAATTTGAATTTTCTCCCAAGACATATATCACAATTGTAAAATCTGTGCAACTTCAATGTTTTTTTAATCACGAAATATTGTTGTATATACATATATTCTTATGTTCTTCTTTGTTTTTCGTTTTAATATTGATTAAAGAATCAATAATTTATTCTTCGTAAATAATTCATTCATTAGATATTCTTGAGTTATCTGATAATTAAAAATTTACGTTAAAATATTACTAATATTTTTTTAAAAATTTATTTTATTTTTTAATTTTAATATATAAATAACAGTAAAATATTATTTATAAGTTCAATGTAATTATTTATTATTGTGAGAATCGAGAGGCAAATTACTTGGTATAAAAGAAATTGCATTATGGTAGGAAGGCGATCAGTCGCCATCCGTCAAACTACCTTTGTTGCTGTCTAATAACATTATTAGTAACTTTATTATAAGCCAATCCAAACACTCTTTGAAGAGTAAAGTGTAGTCTACAACTGAACAGTCTCTCTGAGTGTAGTCTACAACTGAACAGTGTCTCCGAGCCATGTCTTACATTCCACCACACAAGAGGCACACAAAGGGTTCACCGTCGCCGGAACCAACTCCGGCACCGGAATCAGTGCTACCTGCCTTGAGAAAAAGCCTGAATTTCAAGAGAAAGGAAAACATTCGGCTCGAGATCCGTTATGCTCATGGTGCAGTTAGGAAATGGTTCCCTGTTGGTTTGACTCATTTTTCATCTCTTGTCAACCTTCAACCTCTTTCTATCCATCAAAAATCTAACGAAAATCCTCTTCGTTTGGTGCTAATGCAAGGTACTACTACTTTTTTGTTCTTTTTCTGCAAAATCTAAATTTTTATGTGTATTTGATAAATAAATGCTTCCAGAGTTTGGGTTTCTAAATCCTTTTTTCTATTTTTGAGGTTGCAATGGAGGAACGAATGATGAGCCATGGCGTTTGGTGGCTAAAAATGTGATGGAAGACTTACTTTTGTCATTTCAACATGTCAAATCTGTAATGGAGGAATCTAATATGGAAGAAGAATCAAAGCCGAGTCTAGTTGCTCGTTTTGGAAGAATTCTCTTTCATGGGTTAGTATTGTCCATTTCTCATAATCACTTTTATTCAAATCCATTTTATTATACTACACAATTTTCTTGTCTGGTAAAGCAAACTACAACTTCTGTAAATCGCTGACTTATTTTACTTTGACATGTAACTCTTTTAACTTTTCTCCTACGTGTTAGAATGTTTCTTCTTTTGGCGATGTCTGAAGCACTACTTTGTTGAGTCGATTAAATCCAGTGTGTTTAACATGTAATCCTCCTCAAATTCTCTGTCTTGTAGGATTTCTGCAAAAAGTCAAGAATCCCTCAATAGTAACCTATTAAAGGAAACTACCTTGAGGCAAATGAGAAAATCTTTCTATACCAGTGTTCCTCTTTCATACATGGAATATATACGAAACCTTGCAGTTGAAAAACTTGACTTACAATATGTGGAGGAGAAGGAATTATACTACGTCAAGGTAATATTTTCATGTTTCTAACAAGTTTCTTTCTCTTTATGTGTTGCTTCTTTTAGTAGTATCCCTTGTGCTTTGTAGCTTTCAGACAACATGCGCGCTGATTCAACTGTCACCTGCAAATGTACGGTGGTCAAGGATCAGGAGAAAATTCAGCTCCATAAGGTTACTTCTCCATTCCCTGGTTCTTAATGAACTTGCTGTAAGATGCCCAATTAACTGTTTATTTTCCAACTAGAAAAACAACATTAATTGTTGTCATGAACATATTTACCTCCTCTTACCTATCTTTTGCATGCTTTACTTCTTGCAGTTTGTCATTCCTTATCAATCTTCTGACGCTACACTTTTTCTTTTAGATTGAGCTGAACCAAGTACGCAACATGGTTGCAGACATGAGCTGTCCTGGCAAAAGCTTAGACCTGAGGTTGATGTTAAACACCAAGAAAATCATGACGGGTTTATCTGTAAGTTACTTCATTGAGGATCAAATATCTTGAAAGTCATAGGTCGTATACTCATACTTAGAAGTTTCACCCAATATTTGATATCTTCTGAACTGGAGACATGTTTATTCAGTTACTCTTGGTTCAAATTTCTTGTTTTTTCATGTTTCGTCGATTTGGGAGAGGGTTTGATTTTTGTGAACAGCAAAATGAATAGCCTATTGGGTTGACCAGTAGGGTTTAAAATGCTCAAATACTGTGCGTTATTGGAGATCTCTGGTAACTGGATTGAGCTAGATACAAATCATTTCTACGATGAAATACAAAGGAGGGTAAGTAGAAGAGAGAAAAAAAGGAAAAAGGATACAGAGGCAAAAAGTAGAAATGAAGATATTCTTCACATGCATTCAGTGTTAAGGTGGTTACTTAATGAATTTGATTTGTTTTGGGATCTCTAACTACCTACACTTAATAAGATTTAAGGGCTTCGAAAACCCAACCAAATATAAAGTTACACCCCAAGTAAGCAGACTTTCAAGTCTAATGTATTTAAATTGTCTAGTCATATAGTGTACCAGGGATGATACTTTTGATATTTACATTGGTAAGTACAGGTATTAACAAAACCCATAGATTTTAGAGTACCGATGAAATTTGTCTGCACTTTGGATGTACATATTTTACCTCCATTCCAGCGAAGAAGAACCTTTTTCTGTGTGAATTATTTTATTTGCACTTCAATTTCCATCTTCTCATCATGACTTCTGCACTCTCAACTGAAAGGACACCAGTAGTGTTTGTGTTCTTATTGTATCACTCTCTGCTTTTTCCCAGGATGAGGAGATCAATGAAATTAAAAGTCTTATCGGTTCAGCTGTGTTGGACTCTGAAGTTAAGGGTGGGCTGAGATGGCCCTTTGGCGAGGATTCTTCAGGGAGTCGATATGCTGTTACCGGTGTCTGGCACACAACTGCAAAATCGTATGGGAATTCGTCAATTAGGCTTAAGCTTAGACATGCAGATCGATATGATTTCAGATCTTCAACTGGTGAGGTTGCACAGGAAGTTAACCTGAAAATGTCTGGGATTTTATCCCAATTGCAGGTAGATTTTCTTCTAATGAGCAATTATGTCTATTTCTATTGGTAATACATTTGGGCAAAACATCATCCAGTTCAGCTGGAGAAACAAAATTCAATGACTGATTCCAATCCAGTTGATAAGCCTTTCTGTTTCTTTTTCTACTTGACCCCTTCACTACTGAAATAATTAATTTAATACATTTTCTTACCTAAAATGCAGGAGGAAACGATTGACGAAAACCTGGTGCTTAAAATGCTGGAAGACAACTTGAAGTTAATCTGGGATCACTGTTTGGATGATGGTTCTTCAAGCTGATGACCATATTTCGCGGTCCTTCACTCTCTTTGCAAAATATCTGCAGAAACTCACAAGCTATGGTCGTTTGGTGAAGAAAGTTACCTTTTGTAGTTTGCAGTGGTGGAATGTATAGATGGATAACTGAATTGTTAAACTCAAAATGTTGAATGCTGTTTGCAGTATATTGTTTTGCGTATGGAATGAAATGAACCAAGGCCTCTGATGGTAGCGGCATCAGTAAAGGAATAGTTTTGTTTTTGTAATGGATCGAACTTCTTAGTTAAACGTAGTGTTGAGTTCACATATTTGATTTTACTGAATGTGGGGATCGAAATATAAATAGCTTATTGATGCATAGAGGAAAATCCTACAATGTCTGCAGTTAAAACACCAGAAAAGGATTTTAAAGGAGAAGATATATTATTTGGAGCATTACATGATATATAAGCAATCTATTCCAGACAAAAAGATAAAAAGTAAATTAAATACAATCTATACATTCTGTATGTGGATGGTTTCTAATATAACTCTCATAACAATATTTACCTTAATTTCCTTATTGGTAATGCATTTCCAAAGAGTTTTTCTACTTCAGTTGCTTCCATTTTAAGTCCATCCAAAATATCCATTTCTTCTTTGCTGAGCTCTCTTATAAAGTTTTCTTCATCTTGTTGCAGCTCTTTGAAACCTTCGAACAGTCTACTGAATAAGCTGACTTCTTTTTCCTTCACCTTCTCGACTTCTTCTTCTATTTCCTCGACTTCTTTTATGATTGTCCGCTCTCCTTCTTCCACTTTCTTCTCTAACCGTTCAACAAGGGGTGGCTCAGGGCCACAAGTATTGTCTGTTTTTATGAAAGTGTTGAAATCACGACCAACTTTTTGAGCTGCAATTTGCAACTCAGGTATAATCGTTTCAGGCAAAACGGAGCTTCTAGTATAAAGTACAGAACCACCATATCCATCCCATGCATCATTTCTGCCCTTATAGTACACAAATATGTAATCATCTGGACTGTTTTCAACTTTGGATGACAAAATATACCTGCAGAGAAAATCAATTAACGTGTTTAGGTGAATCACAATGCAAGTACAAACAATATGGAGACTGTAGGAAGTGAGATACCAGTCATCTTGGTAGTGAAGATACTCATTATCATGATTGTAGAGTATCCCGGGATACTTTGGATCTTGCACGAATTTTTGCACTGCGGATCGAGTGAAAAATCCTCCATCAGGTGTCCCTATTCTCCAAGTCAGACTTCCCACAAGTTTGTTTCCTTCTGTATGGAACTCATGCAATTGACAATCAAAAACATCAAATGTGGGATTCAAACCGCGAGTGATGTACCATTTTCCAATAAAATCATTCATGTCAAACTTTTGGACGAGAACACTGGGATCAGGCACAGGAAAGTCACCAACATCAGATTTACGAGGTACACATTTCTTCCGGGAGACTGCACACTCATTGAACTCGTCTACAACACTGTTTTCAAACAAATCACCACATTTTATCTGCACCCATATTCCAACATATTAATATTCCATAAATGTGATCAAATCAATATTCAGTTTTAATAAGATGTTTGTAGACACCTGACATTCCGTTTCATCAGGTCTATTGTTGCATGTTTGGAGACAGGCAACATTAGCTGCACATGCAGGGTTTGAGATGCACTTCGCAAGCTCTATCCTGAAAGCATAATACTTTAATAAGTCACCTAAGAGTATCAGACATGCATGTTAGGGATGGAGGTTGAAACTCATCAATACTACTCCCTCCGTCCTAATTTTTGTTGGACAGTTTGACTTAGCAAAAACTTTAAGAAAGAAAAAAAGACTTGTGAATTTTGTGGTCTAAAATAAACCTAAGACATTTGTGTGGCTATATCTTTACAAGTTCATCAAATTGTGGCACGAGACAAAAAGATATCTTTTGAGATTCAGGGAAATTGGAATAATAGTAAAAACTTTCCTGCATCCCTAGCACAGCAACAGTATCAGTTGCTTTTACCACCGTAAAGGTCTAAAAAAACTTGCTCCAAATAAGTCAAATTCATACTGCTATTCTCATGGCCTAATTAGAACACAGAAAGTCTTAACAGTCTCAAAATCGGAAAGGAATAGATGGAAAAGCATTACGGTTGGGGTTATGTTTCACTTTGAACATGCTTAAAACTTGATTTTATCGATAATTACGACTAGAATCGAGAACTTATGGACAGTTGATCATAAAAAGCTAGAGACAGTCTATGTCCGTGAAAACTGAATTTGACATCCTTACCACTGCACTCAATTATTAATTCAGGACGACAATCCACAGTGTACAAACAAGAACCAATTTCACATTCCTTGTGTATTTTTATATGTAATAGAAGTAAACAAGCTCAAAGCTCTTGAAAGAAACATAAGAAGGGTAGCAAAACAAAATATATTGGCAGCTCGGTAGAAGGAAGTATACCGGCATACTTTAGTAACATCTGCAAATTACCTGCACTCTTTCAGTAAGCAAGTACAAGTTTTGAGAGCATCAACGGCATCAGCCTTTGAAGCAACTGACAAAATAAATATAGTTACAATTGCTGTTTTGGCCAATTGGCCCCATTTCTTCAAGACCATCAAAGCTACATCTTCTGGAAATTTCCATATTGTATTTCCCTATATAGAGGACTTCTGTCAGCAAAGAGAAAGAAGAGGATGAAAAGGATGCAGAGGACAGAGCTAGACCCCCACATTCCTTCGGAAAGTAGTAAACGAGAAGCAACAGAACAAAATAATATCAAACTCACCTTAGGTACATTCTGGTTAATTCTATGTGCAGAAGAAAGATTTTGTTTCCCCCGTGATGATAGTTGCAGACTTCTAGAATCCAAACCACAACATATTCTAGAAGATTTCTGCAAGTATGTAGGTATCTGTCTTCTGGAACAAATTTTCACTAGGACTATACTACCAAAGTAATCTGCTCTACCCCAGCTAAATCTTGTATGACTCTGAAGCCTTGATCCAACTTGACATTTGATGGCCTCATGATTGCACAGAATGTTTGAATGAGGGGCAAGCGCCATTATTCAATTGAATGACCACCAACTCCAACCTATAGAAATGAAGTATATCAGATTGTGCTATCTTCTAAATCTTTCTGATTGATATCTACTCTGTGCAACACACACGCGCACATATCAGACTGATTGGTCCAAGATGCATATTCTACGTGTGTGCGTGTGTGTTGCACGTCAGCACATATCAAATCTTACTATCAGATTCACAATCAAGAATTTTTCCACATTCACTAGTTGATTGAAATTCTATGATACATAAGTAGGATTTAAGGTCAAATATTGAAATGCAGATAAATTTTCAACTTCCCACATTCATCTTCAGTTCCAACTAAAGGTTTTGGTGCATAGTTCACAATCAATCAAGAACTCACCCTTTCATGTTCCTCTCTATTCACCTTCAGTTTAACATTAAATACTACTCCTTCCGTCCCAATTAGTGTGACACCATTTGAGTTAGCATAAATTTTAAGTAAAAGGGATCATTTGTATGACTTGTATCACATAAATTGAGACGGAGCAGCACATTTACAAAGCTAAAATTGACAAGTTAAATTGTCAAATGCAGAATCATAATATACTCAAAGAGTAAAAGATGAGTATGTGAATATAAATATAAATCCCAATAACTGACCTCATGTAAATAGAGTGCTATGAAGATTGAACGTTGAGTATAAAGAGTTGTTGTGGATTTTGCATCTTTTTTTTTCTTCTTCTGAATTTTTGGGTGTTTTAAGTGTGAAAGAGTTGAGTGAAGGGGAAATGGATGAAGGGGGATAAGACATTTTGTGATAATTAGCTTAGCAACGTCACCACATTTTCTTGTTTCTGCACTTCCTCTCTTTTTTCATTTTCTTCTCCTTTTGGATGGTTTTGGCAATTGCCCAAAAAAAATGATCGAATGCATAGGGGCTTGGACAACTATGGTCCTTAATGTTTACCACTTAGCAAAAATAATCCCCTATCTATGCAAATATTTGACATTTTTGATCCCCGAAAACATCTCCTATCATACATTCTATTTTATTCTTTTGAGTATAGAGTTTTTTTTTTTTCCCATAATCAATTCCAATCTAATTCTTTATTATACTTTTTAAAAATAAATTTTCTTTTTTCTTTTCAATATCATATTATTATTTTTATTTTTATTTCTATTTCATGTTCTTATTTCATAATATAATTTGTTTTTCAAAATAATCACTCTATACAATTCTCATGAAATATAAAATAATTACTTTTCAAATTCTTTATTTAATATAAAATTATATTTTATTCTAAAATTTTAAAAATAAACTTGAATAATTGAAAAAAAATTAACAACCACAACCGTAATCACAAGCACAACAATTCTCTAAATTATACACTAATTTTTTTCAAATATTGTTATATTTGAAAACGGCCAACCGTGAGTTTTTCAATTATTATGTTATGTATTGTATTGTATCGTGTATTTAAATTACTATGTCATGTATTGTATTTTAAATTAAAAATTTTCATCTTATTATTTAAATTTATGAATTCTTCATAATTGAAATCAATAACAATACCAAATTATCTCTTAAATTGATGAAAATTGAAAATAAAATAAAATATTGTTAATTCGGGATAAAAATAGTTTATATGAAATAATATATTTTTAAAAGTATATATTGTATTACATTTAAAAAGAATTATGAATATTAGAAAATTTTATTAATAATCTTAGGGAAAAGTGTCTGATATACCACTCAACTTTGTCATTTAGAACTGCCTTGTTATGAAAGTGGCGCATATATACTCCCACTTGTAAACAAATGGCTCACATATACCCTTTTCCTCTAACGGAAATGAAAAAAAATAATAATTTTAATTTAAATTTTTATTACTTTTTTTTCTAAAAAATATAATCCATATGAGTAAATTTAATCCTCGTCAAATATATATTTTTGACTTTTTTTTTTGTTTCAATGACTAATTTATAATTATATTATCAAATTTATTTATGTTTCACTAATATTCTTGTAAAACTTATTGTAGATGACCAAAATTTTTCTTCGAATACGAAATTAAATTACAATACACACAAAAAAATAGTTTAATTTTTTATTCTTTAAATTAAGGAATAAAAGAAAAAACAAAATAAAAATAAGAAATTCAAATAATTATAATAAAAGAAGTCAAAAAATAATTTATGTATGAAAAAAATTAAAATATACCTTGTAC